GCCCGCGGCCGCGCCGGCGGCGGCGGCGTTGCCGAAACAGCCACCGAAGTTGTTGCTGAAAGTGACGACTATGGGAAGCCTGGGACCGGTGCAGGTGGTGATGACGCCGGAATCAACCGTCGGAGATTTAGTTGCGGTGGCGGTGCGGCAATACGTGAAGGAAGGTCGCCGTCCGATTTTGCCGTCGAACGATCCTTCGCAGTTCGACCTTCATTATTCTCAGTTCAGCTTAGAGAGTAAGCGAAAAAAAAAATAATAACAACGAAGAAAAAAAAATAATGAAATCAGAATTAATTGTTAAATTGAGATGCTATTGTGCGCAGGTTTGGATAGGGAGGAGAAGCTGAAGGATATTGGATCTAGAAACTTCTTTCTGTGTCCGAGGAAGTGCGACGGGGAAGACGGAGGCGCAACGACGCCGTTTGCTTCGTGTTCCAGGGAGGCTGAGAGAGCGAGCAAGGGTGGCGCGTTTGGGTGGTTAAGGTTCATGGATTTCTCGCGGTGAATCTGTGATTTGAAGCCATGTGCGGTCCACTCCACACAGTTATTTGGATTATTTTTTATTTTTATTTTTATTTTATTTTTTATGATTTTAAAATTCAGAATGGATCAATGGTTGGTTACGAAGTTATGATGGCCCGTTAGTTGTAAAAAAATGTGTCGGCCATTTAACTGAATTTTTCTCTCTGTTTTGTCTTTTTGGTTTTTCGTTTTCCTACATGTGAAGCAATTCCATTTCACAAGTTGTTGGATTGCGTAATAGGACCGTCAATGTTGATATTTACATGTCGAAAGAATATCATTTGTCATTTATTCTCCCCGTGAAGTGAATGTGTTAATGATTGATTTATATATACAAATACGATCATATCCTATTAGAGGAAGTTATATACTTTTTTTTATTTTTTTATTTTTAGAGAGGCAGGTATATGCGATAACCAAGAATAAATTTGAGTGATATAAGACAACAAGCGTTTTGAAATTATATGATCAGTGAGAAAAAATAGTTTTTTAAATAAAAAAAAGAAGAAAAGAATTGCATATAGTTTGTGTGTTAAACTTTTGATTGGTAATGATAAAATTTAATAGTTAATGTTTATATGATTATATTTAAGGTTTATTTCACTTAATACGCTTATGCATAATTTTAAAATTTTAATTTATTATCTATTTTAGACTTAAACATGTTTTTAATTTATTAAATTTGGAATAAATTTCTTTTTAATTTTTTAAATTTAAAAGTGTTTTTTTATTTATGTGATTTTTAAATGAGTTTAATGTTGTTTTTTATTAATTAAGATTTGTGAGATAATGTTGGATAGATTTTCTAAAAAAATAAGTATAAGAATTAAAACAATTTTTTTAAAATTATTGAGATTAAAATAATTAATTTTAAATTTAAGAGTTTAAATATAAATTTATCTAAAATTTGAGAAATTAAAAATATAATTAAAATTTTATTTTAATATTATATAATACTATTTTTAATAACATTTTTTTTTGTTAAGGACACGTGTTATAGACTAGTATTGATTGGATTGAAACTTAGGAGACATTTGTTAAGATTTTACTTTCGTGAGAAATATAAAGTTAGCAATGTTTGTTTTTCATATTTGGTTTGTTAATTAAAAAGTAATATTTTTATAAAACGTTGTTTTTCATAAATGTTTTTTAATAAGACATGTATAAAAAATCATTCCAAAAATATAACTCTCAAAAGTTATGATTTCCATAAATAATGATTTTCAAGATTAAATTTTTTTAATCAAATGTCTCCTTATTGTAATGTAATGTTTTGAAAGAAAAAACTATTATTTTAAAGTTTTGGGATTGGAGTAATTTATAGGTCTCACGTTTGAACCATATCATTGTCATTGTAAATTTTAATATAATAAATGGAGCATATGGAACGTGATAATATCCTCTTATTAGTATTCATACTTGTGCAATCAACAAGACACAAATTATTTTATCCTGAAAATTTGAAAAATCATGAATCTAAGATTATGTTGTACTCTTTAACTGCTATTAGAAGAAAAATAAGTATTAAAATAAGTATTACGTTAATTTTTTAATAGTATTAGGTACTTATTTTCATTTATATTCAATATTATTTAAAAAATAGTTACTATGTTACATTTTGTATATAAAAAAATAATTTAATAGAATTACTATTATCTTTTATTTATTAAATAATTTATTATTTATATAAAAAATAATCTAAAACGGACAGTTATTATATAACAATAATTTGTATAAAGTTAAAATTAACATAATGAGAAAAGTAAGTAAAATTGTGTTGTAACCCTATGATTTCAAAGTATAATTTGTATGTAACCAACCATAATCGAACCTAACTTTTTTCTAGAAAACAAAAATTAAAACCTTCATGTGAGCAACAATAATTTCATGGAGAATGAAATTTTTTTTCTTGGTGAAATCTGGAACCAACCATAATCAAACTACCTGAGTCAGGATCTTCTAGTTCTCTCTCTGAAAAATTTTCAGAAATAGAATTATAAAAAAAACAAACAACAACCATTTTTAACTAAACTGAAAAATTCCTATGAAACACACAGTGAACCCTTGCACAACATAACTCTCCTGAGGCAAATTCTAAATTTGTAACCCTTGCAATTTCCAAAGGATGATGCACACCATTTATAAGATGATAACTAATCTCGTCCACAATGGTGAAAAATATGATCTTCATTTATTCCTTAAAGTACTTAAAAATGTAATCTACCTTTGGCACCGTCGCATTTTGTTGATATATGCATAATTAAAATTGAGAAAATTTTCTCCATTTCTCTCCTTTCTAATTCTATCAATTCAAACAACGTGTTTTCATGCTACTTCTACCGTTTTTATTTAGATAAAGCATAAAGTTTGGAAATATAACAAACTAAACTAAATAAATGAAATGGTACGAACAAACAATTTTTCAAAAGAATAGTCTAATGAAAGGCCACCTAACATCGGACAGAATAGTGTCTCTGAAGGCCCAAATCATTGGTGGAGCCACTAGTGTTTAAATTCGGGCCTAACAATTCACCTTAAAATTGCACCCAAAATAAGAAGAAGAAAAAAAAAAACTCATAGCTAATAGGGAATTTTTTTTTTCTTTCTATTTTATTTCATCATTTTATGTTTAAACTTTTTTATATTTTAATTATTTTTATAAGTTTTTTTTATAAATTATTAAAATACATATTTATTATATACAAATAAAATACGTCATGCATATATATATATATATATATATATATATATATATATTTATCTTTTATCGATAGTTTTTTTCGTTAATTTTTGTTTTACCTTTTTGGTCTGTAATATAGTTTTATTTATCTACACATTTTATTTTATTACCACCTTTTATGATGGTTTATCATCTCCTAATTGGGCCTGTTCTTTGTTTAGCTCTATTATTGGTTGAAACAAGTTAAATCAATTATTAAAAAATAAAATGTGTTTTATAAGTAAATGTTACGTGGCAGTACTATTTTGATTTTTTTTTTACCAAAATACCATTGAAATTTATCACGCCTTTGGTTTTATGGGTAACTGTCTCTTCGACAGAAAAAAAAACTCAATTATAAAATAAAATGTGCGACAAAATAAATAAAAGACAAAAAAATAAAAAAAAACATTATAAAAAATTTACCCCTAATCTTTTATATAAAAAACAAATAAAAATTTATCAAAATTAATAAAAATAGTTAATATAATTAATTTTAAGCAACAATTTCAGAAAAAAATAATTAACAATACGAAAAATTTAAACTTTATTATAAAAAAACTCTTTCAATTGATTGATTTAAATAATAATTATATTAAATAACATTACATCTAATTAAAGAGGAGAATATAACAAAATTAACAATTAATCTATTTTAAAGTAGATATTATTTTTCTCATAATTAGAAGAAAAAAAATCCACTTGTTTCCTATATAAAGAATTGGAGACATTATAATGTACAAAAATCAAAGAAATATTTATTGATAAATAATAAAAATATTACTAAATCATACAAAACTAAACAAAATAAAATGAAAAAGAATTTATTATTATTTTATAATAAAAAAGAAGAAGCGCGGAGAGAACTCAAAAAAACCCTAATCAGTGCAGCGCGATCAATATATATATAAACACACATTTCTTAAACCCATAAACCCATTTTTCATCGCAATTCAGCTTCTCTTTCTCTCACCCAAACCCTACTTTCTCTCACTTTGCTTCACTGCGCAGTTCCTCCCAAATGGATGCTCCAATGCAGTTTTGGGGTAACTTCTTCTATTCTCTCTTCTTTCGCTTTGCATCCATCTTTTGCTTTCATTTTTCGCTATATTCAAAATCCGATTCATTTTTCTTCATTTCGTCTTGTTTTCGCGGCACAACACACGGTTCATATCGCGATATCTATTTTACGTTATAGCCTTACTCCTCTGTAATACGCGTTACTCTTATTTTATTTTTTTTGAATTATTTTATTGTTGCTAAATTATTGTCCTTGTTAATATGTGTAAATGTGTTTTAATTCTGAACCGTTCTTTTAAGATATCCAAATGAAAAGTGAAACTTGTTTGCTAATATTTATACAAGTGTTTGTATGATTGAATTGATTTGGCGATGTAATAATGCTTTTGTTGTTGTGTTGGTTTGGAATTTAGGTGTTGAGGTTAAGGTGGGACAGACTGTTAAGATAGACCCAATGGATCCAGAGAGTTCATACATTCACATTTCTCAGGTTGCACTTGGTGAGGCGAAGAAGGACAAAGCAAGTGAACCTGTGGTTCTGTTTGTGAAAGTTGGTGCCCAGAAGATTGTTTTGGGAACCCTTAATAGGAATGACATTCCTCACCTATCGTTGGATTTGGTTTTGGACTCTGACTTTGAACTTTCCCACAATTCAAAAAGTGCTAGTGTCCATTTCTGTGGATACAAAGTTCTAACGTATCCTTCGCATCATAAATTGGCTTGCTGTTTATATTTTATAACATGTTTGGTTTTATGTTTGATTGCAGTGAAAATCATGTCCAAAGCCAAAACAAGAATAAATAGGTTTGGGTTTTTATACCAAATGCGTAAATTTGGAGGAAGAAATGTGGAACCAAGCATGAGTTTTTGAGAAATTTATGTCTTTTATATTCCAAATGTTTTTAGTACCTAGTTTATCCATTTTGTTTATTAGTTGATTGGATTTCTTCTTGTGGTGGCTGTATGGGGATGGCATTGACAAGAGTGTTATTATTTATTTATTTATTTTTATTTTTATTTTTTAACTAAGCCCATTGTGCTTAATAATACATATCACTGCTCCTGTCTTTATTTTTTTTTTCCTTAACTTGATGCATTCTTGTGGCACTAGTGATTCGGACAATGTTTCCGACTTTTCTGGTGAGGATCATTTGTTTCTTCTGAACTTGTTGTTGTTGTTATTATTATTATTATTATTTATATTAATTTATTTATCAATTTGGTGGCTCAAATGCGGTTTCATTTTGTATGATGTTGACAGATAGTGATGATGATCTTCCAGTGGAGGGCTTAGAAAATGGTAGATGTTTCCTCTTGAAATGAATTTAATTGCTAGCTCTGCATATTACTGTCTTGATAACTGATAGTTATCTTCTTTCAGGAATATTTGCAATTAAACCTGAAGGTGCAAAAGTTACCAAACCTTCTAAACCTGTTCCCTTGACTGGTGCATCAGCAAAACAAGTTAAGACAGTTGATCCCAAGAAAGTTGAGGAGGATGACTCTGATGATGACGATGATTCTGATGATGAGGAAGCTAATGAAGATGAACTCAACAGTTCTGATGAGGTATTTTAGCTACTAAGGGTTTAAATTACAGTTTTATGTAATATGTTCTATATGTGAGATGTCAAGAATCAATATGCATTTTCTGCAATGTATTGTGCACACAATATAAAAAAAATGAGATACTTCAAAATATATCTGGCACGTTAATGTTTATGCAAGGATCATGGTTAAGTAAAACATTGCTTTTCTCTTTCATGAAAAAAAATCTCTTCATTATTCTTGCTGTTGTGTAAGGTTTATGTGGTGATAATTTTCCATCATTTATCATTGTAGATGGATGATGATAGTGATAGTGATGAGGAAAGTGAGAGTGATGAAGCTGATGAGGAAACCCCTGAAAAGAAGGTAATGATATTGCTCTTGTATTATGTATTCTTTTGTTTTGATGATATGATGTCTTTTATTATGATTGATGAGTACTGAGCAGACTTCACCAGCTCTTATATGTGACTATGTTTTAAATGTGAATCAGGGCAAGAAGAGAGCCAAGGAGTCTGCATCAAAAACCCCAGTTTCTGCTAAAAAAGCTAAGAATGCCACCCCTGAAAAGACTGGTGAGAATATCATCCATATGCTGCTTTGTATCTATATTAATCTTCCCAAGTTTCTTTCTTTTTCGCAGATGTCTAATTCTATGCTAATGCTTTCTTAAAATAGTGTATTATTGATCAATGCATCCGACTTTAGTATTATTAGGCATAACAAATCATACATTTTACTTTTTACATGTCAAACTCCATGTTTGAATGACGCTTCTTAATCCTTAATAATGGTCATTTATTTTTTATGTATTCTTCATACTTATCTTTCTATTATCCGTTGGTAATATTGTGATAAAAAAAATGTTTGTAGATGGTAAGAAAAGTGTACATGTAGCAACTCCTTATCCTTCGAAGAAAGGAGGGAAGTCTCCCAACAGTAATGCAAAAGGCAAGACTCCCAACAATAATGCAAAAGGCAATACTCCCAACAGTAATGCGAAAGGCAAGAATCCCAACTCTGCAGGTGGAAAGAAGCCCCAATTCCGGAAGTAGTAAAAAGTATGGTTCTTTTTTTGGAAATATTAACAAAATTGATTTTAGCAAAACCTTAAAAGTAGTTTCATTATGGCTTATGTCCGACTATTTTATGGTTTTGTAGGTCACTTACCAACGAAATTGGTCTTGTCTTGCGACAACATAAGAAGGTTGAGCATGGTGGTCAGTGATGTCTTTTACCGTACTTATGTAGTAGTCATTTTCCCTTGTATTGCAGTGAGTAGGTTCGGAACGTTCGAAATTTTATACTCACTCTAAGGTTTTAAAATTTTGTTTTGAGGTCGATGAGCGCCCACATATTCGGTCTGCTGCCTTTAAATCCTGTTCATTATTCAATTGAGTGCCTATGTTTTTCTATTGGCATTAGACATATTTCTCATTCAAATCTAGCTTATGTTATTTATTGCTACCGCTACACATAACTACAAGTAAATTACATTTACACCAGAACATTTATGATTTTGTTGCGGTACTTTTCTAACAAAATACTAGTATATAAGTTAAATTATGTATTACATTTCTTTATATGATATATTTAATTGTATTTTGAAATTGCATTAATTGATAAATTATGTTATTTTAAGATTTTGAAAAGATATTGGAGCCTATTTGTTTAATTTTCCTCTGAAAGCACTTTTTTGTTTTTTAAAGAATATGCTTATTGAAATTTTAGAAATGTTTGGGTGATTTTTTTTCAATAAACAGAAGCGTAAAAATCAGTAAAAAATTATTTTGTGGTGAATTTAGGATGCAGTTTTTACTATTTCAATCAAAATTCAAATTAACTTTTAATAATATAACCATCTCTTCAAATTAAATTTCGTTCTTAAAACTATTTGAAGTCATATTATAATTTTTTTGTTATATGAAATAAAAAATTATCATATTTAATGCACAAAGTAAAATACCAGCTATGCACATCATTAACACATTAAATAATCATTATATAACTTTAATTCTTTATATATATAGGTTAAACCTAAATTTAAACATCTTTTTAATTTTTGTAAAATAAGTTTGTTTTGATTTTGGTCTGTATTTTTATTGTTTTTAATTTTTCTAAAATTTATAAAATATTGTTTTTATCCTATTGAAATGAGTAGATTTTGATTTTGATATCTGGTAAAAAGAAAAAATTGATTTTCATTCTTCTAAAATCTAAAGTCACTATTTTTCTTATAATGATAATTCAAAGATAAATAAATAATATTTAGTTTAAGAATCTATAAATTTTTAGAGGTATTAAACACGGTATAATTAATAGTTGGAAACATTTAGAATGATTATTTAGTCTTTTAATAAATAAAATACAGTTAAAAATAATCATATATAAAAGGTCTAAATAATATTTTTAATTTTAAAGTGGTGAAAAATAAAAAACTAAAATTAAAACTTGATAATTTTGTAGGGTTAACAAATATATATAAGACTTAAATTTAGTAGTAACTCTAATTTCAATCTGTTTTAAATTGAGTTCTTAAAATTTAAAATTTTCAATTAATTTTAAAACATTGTAACTTAATTATCAACAATTAGAACCATTACTGTTAGACTTGTTAACCCTGTCTCAGTCTCAGAAGTCAGAAGTGCAATATAAAATGCTAAGATACCAGCAAGCATACACTATCAACGGGACGGTAATTATTAGTCGAAAGAGATTTTTTTTTAATTATGCAAACATTTTAATAACAACAACAAATATGTAAATATTAAATATTATAATAAAAACAAAATTGGCCCTATAAGACATTGTGTATGTGACGATAGGTGTTTCTTGGACAACAAAGATAAGATAAAAACAAATTATGGTGAGCTTAGAATTCTAAAGTTGTCAACGAAACTGACAAAAAATGTCCATTACTTGATAACTGATGATTATGGAACTGCAAAGCAACTGTAATCACATGAGGCCGAATCGAAAGAGATTCGTCAATACTTCCTATTATATCTAATTTATCTAGAGATTGATGATGATGAATCAAACTTAAAAGTTAATATTATAGATGAAGATCATCACCATTAATGTTTTCTTTTTTCATACTTCTTATAGTCATTACTATTAATTTGTATCAACAATCTTTATGTTCGTCTATTTATTACAAATATTTATCGTATCAACTACTATGCAATGATTCAAGTAGGATATATTGCATATAAAAAGTAAGAGAAGTGATAAGAAGGTAACAAAAAAAAAATCATTTTAATATGATATTTTATAAGATAGAAAGTAATAAAGGAAAAACAGTATTGTAAAAGTGTTATAAAATATATTGTATGAATAATTTAAATAAAAAATATTCGTGTTTCACTCACTCACACGGCCCAACCCAAAATCAATCTTGACATGTTTGTGTTTTACAAATTAATCTTATTTTGTTTTGAGATTGTGTTTAGAATATTTAGTATCTTTCGAATTCAATCTTATCTTATTTTAAGAAATATACATTTTTAATAGTTATGACTTAATAATAAGACTTAACGGATAATATTGTACATCATATACATTATTTTTATATTATTTAGATTCTTCAATTTAATTATATTTCATTTTAAGACTAACATATTATATCAACAATTATTGATATTTTTCGTATGTTATTAGTTTTTGTTTAGCTCAAATTTATATTTAAATAAATAACCATTTTAAAATTTTAGAATGAATAGAGGCATATATATATATATATTAAAATTTATATATGTGTGTGTTTAAATAAGGCCTATTTATCTTAAACTTAAAATCAATTATTTTTTATATAGTATAACTGTATAACGCATTCTAATCTTAATTATATTATAAAATTTAAAGTTAACTGTATTAAAATAAATTTTATCAACATAAAACTTTAAAAAAATGTTCGACGTTAAACTGGCACATATTTTCTCAGAAAAAGAAAAGGAAATACGAAAACGTCTTCTGTGATTTATAACAAATTTGAACAATTAGAGCAACTGGCTGGTTTGCCCGAGAGGTTAAGGGGGAAGACTTAAGATCTTCTGCACATAAGTGCGCGTGGGTTCGAACCCCACAGCCAGCATTTTTACCTTTTTTTTAAATGTTTTTTCTTTGTAGTTTTGGAAAACTGGGCCAACAAATTGTAGACCAAGGAGGCCCATGATAGCCAAAATTTGACTAGTTTCGTTTTGGCCGGCAAAACCTAACTGGGCCCATTGGTTCAGTAAGGCTACTCACATCACATCTCCCTTTTTTGTTTTTTTTCTTTTTTGTGGTTCACATCTCATTTTAATTTTTTATATTCCCAAAATATCTCTTTTCTCTCAGTTTTACAATCGTAAATTTTTTTTTTGAATTTTGCAAAATTAAATTCCGTAATATAGCTACATTCTAATATATTACAAAAATTAACTTTCGTCCGTTGTATAAAAATATACATTTCATAAATTGGTTTTCTGTATGTAAAAATTTATACCATAGAAACTAGTTTCCATAATATAATTAAAAAATTATATTAATATCAAATTTATATTAAGAAATAAAAAAATAACTACATTACAAAAACTAGGAGGGGATTTTCTTAGGGGTCTGCATGGGTCACAACCAAGTTTCACAAGTAACATCAAGGGTGGCTTAAGATGGCGTCTTGGCAATGGTCTCATTGTGAATGTTTGGCTTGATCCTTAGCTGAGAAGTTTTTAAAATTATAAAGTGTGTAAGGTTAAATGTGTTTAATAAAAAGTTGAAATGACATCGATAATTACTAAATGATATCTCTTTTATAATAATTATAGATATGTTAAAAATAAAAAATATTTATTACATTACATTAACAAATACAGATAACATTTACTGTAGTAAAATTTTCTTCCCAATTTAGGAAAGTTGTATTCGTACCCCACACATTAGACTAATTTTGTGAAAAACTTATAAAAAATATTATTGAGAACCAATAGTTTTTTTGGAATATTATTTTTCTAAATAATAAATTAAATATAGAAAACCAACATTTCATATTTCAAATTTCTCAAAAATTTAAAACTTTCCATAATCTAAATGCTCTTTAAAGGACAAGTTTGTCAAATAAGTTTTTCTTAAATATTTAATTTAAAAGAAGTGTATCTTAGAAAATAAAGTGACCGTTAAATGTATAATATGACAATAACTTATTTTAATTTAATTAATAATTTTAAATTTCAAATCTATGAATAGACTTCCATAAATTTTAGTCAGGGAAATTGCCATTTATAATAATATTCTCTTATTTGAATTTAAATATGGCAGATTAAAAAATCTTACTTTATTTGTGAGCATGAACAAAAATTATACTATTGATTTCAAAATTATTTATTTATTTGGGTCATGAATTTTATTACAACTGGAGTGATTACTTTTTTGATCAATAATTATAATCATAGACACTTTAAACAAAAAGTGGGGGAAAAAAATCTTGACATTCCTTGTCTTCTACCAACTTGGCAGACATGGCTAATTTTGGATCAAGACCTCATTCTGTGGGTTTGATAAAACGATCCCTTCGTGGGGTCCTTACATGGATGAAACTTATTCGATTCATTTTTTTTCAGTAAAATTTAAAATAACGGTCACATATTTAAATTTAAGATTATATATATATTATATATATATTTAATATGCAATCTTTTTCATTTAATGGTTGAGTTTTTCAATTCATCTGATTGTAAAGTGTGAAGACTGAAGGGAGTGTAATATAACATGATGTAAAATTATTGGGGCTTCCATTTTAAAGATAAATTGGATTTCTTTAGAAGATAATGTGAGTTTGGAATCTTAAGAAAACAACTTTGTTTTAATCACCGGGTTATTATATTCCAATATTTAGGTTTTTTTTTATTATATATATATATATATATATATATATATATATATAATTTATCTAACCCACCTTAAAGTTGAGGTGTACGTTTTATTTTTTTTATTCTTAAAAATTAAGTAACTTCACAAGATCTAAATGGAAATTAATATTAATATATTAAACAGATAAAAATAGTCCATATAAAGTTCTATTCAAATCAATTGCACTCGATTTTATAAGTCTAAATAGACTGGCTAACTTTTTTTTTTTAGTTATAAATTTTTGTAGTGTATTGGTTCGCAATCCCCAATTATAAAGCATCAATGTGTGAGATCGAACGTGTAAGAATTTATTTTTAGATCACAATATTCCTCATGAGAGTAAAATTTCTATGATCAAAATGCTTATTTATTATATATCATCTTGCTATATATAAGAAAGAGGGAGAGGAGAAAATCATAATTTTTAAAATGATAACAGTAATAACAACAATATTGTTGACATTATTATCATTACAACCACTGTCATTGCTATTTCTACTACCACCATCAAAAATTGTAGTGACGACAACAATGATAACAGTGGTGGTGGCAGTTGGAATGATAGTGACATTGATATATAGTTGTATATGTATAAGAAATATTTATTTACTTTAAGAGTAAATCTTGATAGACTGATTTCACTAAATATATAATTCTTATTTTAAATCAAATTTTAACGATCTAATGAGTAAATTAAGATTTCTTAATGTATAAATCAAATCTATAATTTTTTTAAAATTTAAAAATTATATGATACTTCGTTATATAGATTCAAATTAATATTTAAATATTTTTATAATTATTTGTTAATTTAAATTAATGAAATAAAATATTAAATAATTTTCATTCTCTTAAAAAAATTTATAGACTTGATCTATATATTAAAAATTTTTAAATTAATAATTAGATCGTTAAAATTTGATGTAAAATATGAGTTATTGAATAAAGTAATTATAACTTACTCATAAATGAATTCCTCCTATATATATATAATAATAATAATTTTATGAGAAGCAATCTTATTTAAATTAAACAAATATCAAAATTTTAATATTTAATATAGTAGCATAAATATGCCAAAACAAGAACTAAAAAACTTGAGAAGAAATAGGGTTTGAGTTCAGCATGAATTTCAAGTAAGAAGAAAATGTATAAAAAAAAAATAAATCACCATGCAGGATACGCTTTTGGGAAAAACTTACTTCGAAAGGTTGTACTTTCTATCAGACAAAGAGGACAATCATTGTGACATACCTTTTTAACTAAATGGTAAAAATTATGTTTGCCCCTTCCATCATCTTAAGAAACTTAATTACCTATGGCACCCATCTTATTATACTAGGATTTGATTGCGTGTCTTAATAACTTTTCTCTCTGCCAACAAAATTAGACAGTAATTAAAAGGGATATAAAATAGGAGAAAAGTCACATGGATAATGACACTTTTGCCTCAAGTAACCAAAATGTCAATCCATGATTCTTGTCATCACAGGTTACCATGATTGAGCATGATGCATGAAAGAAAGTATTCCCAAAAGGGTTGGTTACTTAGCTTATTTTTAATCCTTTGGTGAAACCCAAAAGGACACTTTCTGTGAAAAGTGCATCAAGCCTTAGAAACATTGTGATAGGGTTAAATAATTGAAATATTTGCGTAGGTTAAGACAACTGGCTTAAGAATATTAGCGATGGGAAAAAAAAAATTATATATGGTTGATAGTGTGGTTTAGAGGATAGAACAAACAGCACATGCGCCACTGCATGTGATCTCTTATCCTAATGTTTGTTTTTATAAATGGTGGAAGATATGAACAAAAACTGCAATATGGCATCCCATGCTTTTCCCTCATAGTAAGACATGTATTAAATAAGGGGAAGAGAAGAAAGGACCTCCTTTTTTTAGCAAATGAAAATGACTGGGTTTAAGGACTTTCTGATTTTTTTGCAATTATTTGTTTTCTTGTCGGAAGATTCAGAAATCAAATATACTGTAGTTTCTAAAAATTAACAAAAAATCAAGCATGAAGGTGTGCATGTGAATAAAACTATAAATTGGAGTTTAACCATATAGAAGTGTCGGTAGGAGAAAGCTACGGAGTAGGGAATATTCGCAATCTCGTAACCAAATTACTTTTTATTTTATTTTTATCAATTTAAGTAAATGGCTTAATTAATAATGTTCATGCACATGAGTGTAAAACAAATGGTTTTACATTCTCAATGAATTAAAAAATTAATATTAATATAACTTTTATGTAATTATTATAAACTCAATAAACTTCTTATCATACCATATATATTATAGTTTATAATTGGATGGCAGGATTAATTATTTTATATTGTTAATATGTAATCTATTTCCTCGTAAGTAATAGCCTATTATTCAACCACAAATTGACATGTATTATAAATTTATCAACTTTTATAATAATTATTAGTAATTTAGACTAACATCTCATGAGATTTCCTAAGAATACTTTTTTTTTTTTTAATGCTTACCGCAACTTTCGTCGTATTCAAACAATTAAGAAGACGGGTGTAATGTCTGAGTGTCAACATAATGTTTATTTTTTTTTCAAACAATTAAAGAGATTAGTGTAGGAGATAAAAAATTGAAAAGTTGGTTGCAATCTCATGAAATCTATTTAAAGAGATAACCATGTAATATACTCTTAAATGAAGATTTTTAATCAATTGATAATTTAAAAATTTTAGTGCTAAAAGTGCATATAATCTCTTAAAGAGATCTTAAACAAAAAAAAATGATTCTTTTTCTAAAAGAAATTGATTCTAACAATAGAAAGGAGCGAGAAGGAGAAGAATCATTGGTAAATATTCAAGGATGACCTTATTTTACTCTCAAGTTCTCCACACAAACAATGTCAATTAAAGCATCAAATGATTGCATGAATGATAAATAAAATCCATTGCTTGGGGGGAAAAATGACAAATAACCTGAATTAGAAGCGCATTTTTATCCACCAGTTTATTTGGCTCAGACTAAGCAAACCTAAAAAATAAAGGACTCACGAAATATATAACTATAGAATCTCACAAAACAATCTATGCAAACAAAATCACACTGTCTACTTCATGTCTAAGGCTCTAACTTAAGTGCTTTTTGGTAGATCTTCATCTGTATAATGCAATTCTAGTAACAACAGCACTTTGCCTGTGATCTGTATCTTCTTGATTGATGACAATGAAATCATGGAAAGTACTTTTGCTTTCCGAAATTGAAAATGATTTGCTCTAACTAGCTGTGGATGGTTTGGTACAGCGTTTTGTTGCTTGAAGAAATCAGCTCCCCTTGATTTTTTTAGAGGAGAAACTAGAAAAATATGGACACAACACTGATGAAACTTAAGTAACTTGAGATGTTGGTTCAACCAGCTTTACACAATGGTGCCAACGTAGCCAAATCCCACAATTGAGAAGGTAATGGTCTGAAGGAAGAGGTAGATAAAGTAGTTGTGTTTCCCATGCACAAAATCATAGCATCCACATACGAAGAGGAATGCCGCAAATCCAAGTTCCAGTAAATTGAGTCTGTTCATATTCAAACAAGAAAATAAATCATGATTAGACATAAGAAATCATGTTCAAATATTCGTTGAAATTAGAAGCCTAATATTAGAACATTTAAGATCTAAGTACATATGGTACTTTTCAATAATGTAAAGTATGATTTGGCTAAGACAGTAACCAGTAAGTACATTCCGACTTGTCTTTTACGTGGCCTATGTTGGATTAATAAAGTGAGTTAATAATGGAGTAGAAAAGTGGGACATAACTCCACATTGTTTTGAGTTCGTGCTCAAATTATTTTGACGAGGGTTTTTCTAAAATCTTGACAGGGGCATGTGGTTTTGTAAAATTATCTTCTGTCATGTTCATGTGCATGTGACAGAAACGTTTTGATTAGGGTGGCATGCTGCTGAGTTGAAGGTGGAATTAAAAAGAATTTCAAAGAAATGTTTTACCTATACTCAAAGAGAATCTTAACTGCTACAATGAAGAATAACTAAAAATTATTCACCAATAAGTTGGAACCTATCGAATTATTTCCGCACAATCATTAAATTATTAGCCACACAGTCTAGAATCTATCTCTATCTCCATAATGCCAATGTGCATGATTGACAATCACAAAGTTCACAATAGAGATGTAGACAAGAAACTATAATTAATGCCAATGTAAGCACAATTATTTGCTTTCGAAAAACAAAAAATAAATTAAGAAACTGACCTTTCAACAAACTTGGATCGAGTCTTTTTGGGGGCCTTGATGACATTATTCTTCTTGGCAGCATCTCCTGATTTATTCTTATTATTGGCGACAGAGTCACCAAGTTTTTCAGTTACAACCCATTCATTGGCCCTTCCATATTCTAACAAACCTATAAATGTTGCCTTGGTACGGTGCAAAGACATTACATTCTCAAAAAGGATCCAATAGAACAGAAGGTGAATGGACCTGCCAAAGTTCCACACATCTTTTAGATCAAATTAATGGCCTAACTTTTTTTCCCCTTATCCGCAAGAATTACAATTAATAGATTAATGGACCAATTAACCAAATATAGCTGAACATGGCTAATAAAATGAGAACAAATCATATCATACCTTGGTGTTCCAACTGAATTGAGAATGGTGATGACGGAAGGAATGTAAACAGCTCCCCATATTGGAACATGAACCTCAGGGATCAAAATTGTAAGGGGGATTACAACACAGTAGAAGAAGAAGGTAACCATGTGGGCTATGATTTTACGAACAAAGAAGAAGCTGTATATAACATACACTTTCTTCCAAAACCTCACTTTCTGCATAAATGTATACAAAAGAAAACATCAGAACATACATCAAAATACTTAACATTGTCCCTTTATCTTATCCCTCAATATGATGTACTCTGTTTGGATAAATTTCTACTATTAAAAAATGTAGTAAACTTCTTAGCTTATACATAAAATAAAATTAATTTATGTATAAATTAAATATTTTTGGAGAAATTTATTCAAACGGATTCAATATAATAACTAAAAAGAGTACTAACCTTGTTCCTCACTATCTCCATCACCATTTTGCGGAACAAGTTAGCAGGACCACAAGACCATCGATGCTGCTGGAATCTGAAGGCTCTCAAAGTACTAGGAAGCTCACTTTTAGCCTATATAAAGTTGTTAAAAAAGGGGCACCATTAGTGAGAAAATTGCAAAGATAATTCATATCGATCATTAATTGCATGCAAAATGTAAATTGTTCACTTTTTTTTTTCCCCATAGATATGATATATATAATATTTTAAAATTCACAATCAAAGACTAATAATTTACCTGGAGGTCCCCAAGGTACAAAAATTTCCATCCCCTAAGACTAGCACGAACAGCAAGGTCCATATCTTCCACTGTTGTTCTGTCTTTCCACCCTCCAGCTTCATTGATAGCAGCTATTCTCCACACACCAGCAGTTCCTGCATTAAGGTCCCCAAACAACAACTTTCTTAGTAAATGCAACTACCAACCTATGCTATGACTATGTACTACGTAGCACATGGATCACATTACATGTGCTAGTAGTAGCCTAGTAGGTAAGGTCAACATGTTTGAAAGTAATTAAATGAATTACCGTTGAAACCAAAGAAAGCATGAGTGGCTGACCCAACTTCTTGCTCGACTGTGAAATGGTAATCCAATGACATCTCTTGCATTCTTGTTAGTAAACACTCATCTGAATTCACTGTCACAAAAAAAAAAAAAAAAAACCAATGTGAGTAAAACATGTTACTAATTTATTTATCAATTGAAAAGGTGAAAATGATTAAAGGAGTGGTAACAAACTAACAATGTAAAAACTTTAAAAAGGGAAAAAAAAAGTTTTTGACTTGTCACATACTCATGCTTTATATTTTGCTACTGAATTAACCTTTTCATAAGCCAAGTACAGAATCAAAGGACAAATGACACAACGCCATCTTGCCGTAACCGTGGCGAACCATAGAGACAATAAAGCAAAAGTCAGCTATGACCCCACACATGCACATGACACAACATTAATTTTATCAAAAAAATAAACGTTACGGAAGTTAATTTAATTTGAGAATGTGAGCGGAATTAAAAGTTAAAACGTTAAAATAAGTTAACACTAATTCTTGTTGAATATTATTATAGGACCAGTATTGTTGTATAACTCAACTAATAATGAAAATAAAATAATGCTACCTAACTAAGTTTATTATGACTATTAAGTTGATCACTGTTTTGAGCTGAGGTGACGTAATAAAAAGAGAAGGGGAATTGGAGAAGTGTCGGCAAGGAAGGAAGGGTAAGGTCCACCTTTAAGCACATGGTACTCCCCTCACTGTTATTAGTTTTTTTTAATCTAAATTAATTGTAAACCCAAAAAATACTGCAAAAGCACGTGGGAAGTGGGTTCGCTGGATTGTGAACTTTGAAGTTTGGATGGATTCTTAAAATGACAAATTTGCCCTTCCCGAATCCCACCATGTTCTTTCCCAAACAGTTTTTCCTGGGGTGATAAAATGTGTCAGACTATGCGGGTCGCTCTTAAAGGAAAAAAAATGCATTTAATAAGGTATTTTGAGTGAATTATTTTAACCTTGATCCACTCCACTTAAAATGACGAAACTGCCCCACTTTCACTTGATCACTTTCTTGCTAAACCAAGCACAAAACAAATCAATAGTTATCACACAGACCCACTTACGATTATTATAAATAAATAAATAAAAATTCTAAGGTGGCAACTAAGGGTAGAAGAGTGACGCTTTTATTTGTTTCTTCTTTACACTCTCTCACTTTTTATTTTACTTAATGGGGACATGATCGCGAAGGAGACAACCTTCACAGGGAGGGTGACTGGCTCGTTGGTGGTCCCACCCGTGATTGAAGGGTTTGTTTTCGCCCCCAGCCAGGTCAAACCACGACAAAGAGGAAAGTGAAAGTCCACACTAAAAATAATTTCTCTTCAATCATAAAATTAACCAACAAAAAATGAAATCAAAATGCCACCGACACTTAGAAGCGGAGTAAAAAATAAAGGGTTAGTGTAATATAGTGTATTAAGTAAAAACTAATACAATAATCAACTAATCACGGATTATTATTATTAACAATAATTTGATTGAGTAAGTATACGACGATGGATAACATTTATTACTAAACATAAACATGTGAAATTTAGCTATGGTTAATTAATATTTACCAAATCTCCAACGAGCTTGAACAAGAGCAATGTCGGGGTTGCCAACCAAGAAAGGAATGGAACGTCTTAGAAAATCAGGCTCAGGACGGAAATCTGCATCGAAAATAGCCACGTATTCGCAGTGTTTGACGTAGTTACGTTTAAGGCCTTCTTTTAGAGCACCAGCTTTGTAGCCTCCTCTCGTTTCTCTGATTTGGTACACTATGTTTATGCCCTTGCTCGCCCATCTCTGGCATTCCGTCTCCACCATTTGCTGCAACCACAATTTTAATTTCATTCCCCCAAATCATAAATGCACCCACTCCAATCTTAAGTAGACACATTAAAAACCCACATTCAATACCTCAAAATTAAACTCAAAATATGTGAGACTTTATACTTATACTTATATATATATTGAATTATATATACCTTCACTGTAGGGTCAGTAGAATCATCAAGCACTTGGATCACGAGACGGTCCGAAGGCCATGAAAGATTACAAGCTGCCCCAATCGACACCTTGTACACCTGACTCATCAAATTAACCAAACCAATCAGCACCAATTTCAAAATAAGAAAAACACAACCAAAAGGTGAAGGACTAGAGTTATGTATACCTCTTTTTCGTTGAACATTGGAATCTGAACGAGCACGACGGGGAAATTGGTGTTTCCGAGTTCCTCGTCTTCTTCGAGGGGATCGAACTTGTAACGCTGGTGAGGTTTCTTCCAGAAGAGTTTAACGAGGATGATGACGATGCCCATGTAGACCCTCTCCATGAAGAGCATGAGGGCCATGGCGAGGGAAATGTACACGCCCACGTTCAGCAGAGGCACGATGAGTGGCGCCTTGATCACTTCCCACACCATTCTAATCTGCGCAGCCAAGTCGAAATTCGCTCCCTGGAACGACTCTGGGATGAAGAACTTGGGCTGAGATTCGACCATTTTCGCAACAATGTATGTGGTTCTTACTCTTAGGAGAGAAAAACAGTGGGAGTGATGGTGTGTACTTTTTGTATGGTGTTGAAATGGCAATGCCCCTTCTTGATTGAGTGAGAATACACTAGTTTATAGTGCAGATCTCTCTCCCCCAAACATAGAAAACTTCTCTCTCACAATTGGCCCTATCAATGCTTCTCTTTCTCTTTTCTTCTCTATGTTTCTATGGTTATGCGACCGACACACAAGAATAGAGGCATTCTAGAGAGTGAGTGACACAGAGAGGAGAGAGATTGTGAGAGGGGCAATAGATGCAGAGATAAAGGGGTCCCTTTATAGTCATGTTTTGCTCAATGCTCATACACTTTCCTCCTACCACGTTTTTCTTATATTTTCTTTTTCCTTCTTTTTTCTCAATTTCTCATCTAACCCTTCTCTCCCACTTATTCTCAATACTGTCTTTTTGTTTATGTTGTTTCATAATTACCCTTTCATATGCTTTCATTTTCATCTATTGAAATGACGTTAAAAAAGGATTTTCTCTTGGTTAAATATTGATTAAGATAAAATATGCTTCATAAAATTAATTTATTTCGTTATTATGGTGTTAGATTTATTACCAAAATATGGCAAGCATATGGGTTTTTTTCTCGTCCGTTTTCTTTGGTGGCCTTTTGAGTATTCTTTTCCGTCTATATTCTTTTTTTCTAGGAAAATGATAGAATGCTTACAAAGGAAAAAATCGACAATCTAATCAATTATCCGTTTATTTATGTAATATACTTGACTACATATACGTTTTTTTTTTTTTTTTTTTTTGTATTCGTAAAATATTTTGTTCTCCGTGACTGTTTTCTTTTTTCATAGGAATCATGATTGTCATGATCTATGGAAGTTAGTATATAGTCATTCAAACTATTCTTATCTTTTATAAAGATATGTCGTTATTTACTGATCTATAGATTATTTTATACTAACTTATATTTAATATATATATATATATATATATATATACATTTATTCTATTAAATAATTTATATCATCAAATTTTAAGGATTGATCGTTAAATTAAAAAATTCTAATATATAAAAAATTTGTAAATTCTTTATAATGATATTATTTAATTTAAAAGGTTTGATTATTATATATTAAATCATTTTTAATGTGTGATATATATATATATATATATATATATATATATATAAGTTGAACTATTTTTATTTTTGGTTGCAAATATAAATTAGTATTGTATGTGTTAAGGTTCCAAATGTGGTTCTTCTTCTCATTTGCTTTGTTTGATGATTTTTTGAGTTTTTTTTTTCTTTTTTCATATTTCTTTTTCTAGAAAAATGGTGGATAACTTGTAAAGAAAAACTTTGCCAATCAAGCCAATTATCCGTTTTTCAAATATAACCGACTACATATACGTTTCTTATCTTTTTTCTTATTTATTAACGGTCTTGTCTTTTGTGACCGTTTCCTTGTTTTCTCAAGAATCTTGATTATCATAATCGTATAGGTTAACATTAAGTCATTCACACCATTCATATCCTTTGTAAGGATGCCCTTATTTATCAACCTATAGTTTACTTATTAGGTGACTAACTTATATTCGATATATTTATTAGTCAAACTATTTAATTCTACCAAGTTAGCTTAATCGACCTATATGAGATTAGTGTAACCGAGTATATATTCACTTAATATGAATTCCTATTTTGATTTTTGTAATTTTTTTATTTAATTTCCAACCTTCAAAAAATATGAAAACATTTTTTTTTCTATTATTATGTAACACCTACTAATGTTAACAAAAAGACAAACTCCCTATTTCAAGTAACACAACATTGATGTTGAGATATCATAACAATATCATTCCTCTGTTTTCTTTTTTAAATCTCTAAAATTTATGTTAATTATGTGCATTTGTCATACACATGAAAAACACAAAATATACAATAATTTGTATGATAAAAAAATGTAACTTAACATCTTTTTGATGTACAAGTATTTAATTACTTTTTAAAAACTTAAGCAATACATAAGAAATAAAATGCAAGGACTTTTTTTAATGATTCATTTTTAACCTAAGTCTATATTCAATCTTTGGTATTCAACCAAAATTTTCATTAAAAAAATAAGACGATTATAAATATTTAAACTATATTTCCTCAAACTTAACTTGTGTATAAGTAGCTATACAAATATTATTTCCAACACAAATCTTTCAAGGCTCTAATTCAATTAATTTTTTATTCAAAATTTATTTAGACTTCAAATGTTTTTAGATTTCAAAATTTAATTACTATTGAATGTGTAGATAATTGGTATAAAATTGTTTTAATTTAACTAGAAGTATTGAGTTTGAGTCTTGGACATATAGTCCTTAAAAAAGAGAAAATTAAATGTTCTAAAGCCTATATTTTTGTAATTGATAAATTTTTAATAAAGATTTAAATTTATGTTTAGAAATATTGTATAGATATATTACTAAATTTTTTAAATTATGTATATTTTATTTTATCTTTAAAATGATTAATAACAGTTAAATCAATTTTTTAAGAAATCGAGTTGTTGTGTTATGGATTTTTATTCAAATTGTTGTTGATCTAGCAAGCCAAAAAATATCACTTGTGTTGTTAATTCGGTAGGGTCAAACCACTTAAAATGTTTACCTTATGTTGTAGGAGATCTCTCAATTGAAATACGTGATGACGCATATAGTTGTTATGCTGAACATATGGTGTGTTGAGTTGATTATAACGTTCATATGTTGCGTTAAACTGTGATGAAATGTGTTATTGTATTAAATTTAATGTTGTTCTTTTGTTGATCTGTGTTGTAAATTGTGAATTACTTTAGCCCAACTCAACGAGCTAACAACAACAATAAACTAAGAACAATTTATAGGAAACAAAATTTAGGTTGGCCCAACTTACTTGCCTCACCTTGACCCTTTGAACTAACATATTCATTTTAATTATTCTAATCTAATAAGAAGGACCAAAAAAGATAATAATTAAGGTGTATCAACCATATGTGTTTGATAACACATTAAATGCCAAATTGTTCAAAAACTTGTTGAGATTTGTGTTGACATTAGTTTCTGTCTTTGTTATAAATCATTTTTATTCTATCAATGGACTCAAACACGACAAGTATATGGCCGTACAAGTAGTAAATTTAAATCGTATCCTTAGTGACTAGTTAGGTAAAACAAACATTTAATGACTATTTATGACTAAAGAATAATTCCAATTTTTCATAAATTGTCATGCATTTGAAATAAAGATTATGACTATTGGAATTTCAAAACTATAATATAAATTGTGTGTGTGGAAGGGACAAAAATAGTGTTGTGAGTTTGTAAGATTGTGGGGTCAGATATCACCGAACTTCACATTGATAAATCTTTATTCTCTTGTTACATTCATTGCCTAGTCAACCCATAAGTTTACTCAAGCCTAATGCCTTAGAGCAAGAGCCTAGGTGCAAGTAATGAATATCAATTCCTTGAGTATCCAATACATACACCTGCATTATGAGATAAGGTTTAAGACTACTAATGGACCCAGCTCCATTCCTAGATACATTTTCCACTAGGCATTTGTTTCAGAGCTAGTTTCAAAGGTTATTTTTCAATACCTAATGGGCTCTATATCAAGTAAAGGAGAATCAATCCAAAGCAAGCATTAAGAATAGAAACATAACACAATAATGAATGAAACAACAACATATATATCATTGATAATGTGAAGATTACAAGAGAGTTACGTTGGTTACATCTAACCCCACAAAACAATGGATAAAACCGCTCAAAACAATGGATAAAATCGCTCAAAACAATGGGGGTGAAACAAAAATAGAGATGAAAGAACCGAATGAAAGGTCCACACACGAACGGTCCCAAGAACCGAGAATCCCTTCCACAGCTCCTAAAAGTCGCCCAATGTGTGAATGAGGTGGAAAAGCCTCGAAGCTTTGCTCAAATACGAGTTGGGTGAGGCAGGATAGGGTTTACACGCCCAACGCGTTATACTTCGCACCTGGCGCAGGGTCTTCCAGAGAGGTAATTATTCTCTATCTCGAATCATGCCCGGCGCGGATACTCCTACACCCGGCACAATGTCTTCCAGAGAGTTTTGAATGCTCTATATTTTTCTCAAGCCCAGCGCGGGTAGTCTGTGCCTGGCACAGTGATGCTTCTCCTACTCCTTAGCTCTTTCAATTTCCAATCCAATGAGTCTTCAACCTCAACTCTTTAACTCAATACCTACACCAAAAATGAGGTGTATCAGAGTATTGTCAGATGATTTTTGGGTTAGCTATATCTGCACGAAAATTAATCAAAAGAGAATAATTATATTGCAAGAGTGCATGGGGTGAGTGGAATTGTTCGATAATTCCTATCTAAAAAAATGAGCATAAATGAGACTTAACAATTGTCCACACATCATCATTTACTAACATGTCAAAAAAAATCTATTAAATATTTAGTTAAAGATTAAATATATTTTTAATCTATAAATTTTTATCAATTTTTTTAATTCCTAAACAAATTTTATTTGATTTTAGTTTTAGATGTTTTCCATGAACACTTTTTTTTTATTCTAAGAACCAAAATTTTAATGGAAGAAAAAATTCAAAGACTAAAAATAAATATCAACAAAAATTTAGGAACTAAGACTTGTAAAAAAAATCATCTAAAGACCTAAAACAAAAATTGATAAAAGTTCAAAAATTAAAAATATATTTAACCCTTTAATAATAAAAGGATTATAATCACACAATTGAATATTCAAAATAATTTAATTTTGTGCAATCAAACAAGTGAAATTAAGCCTTTGTCTTTAGTAGTTAAAGTTAAATTTCTTGTTGTACAATTTCATACTTCTTTAACCAAAAAATATTATTTGTATAAATATCTTTTTAAAAATTATTTACAAATAACATTGACTGAATACACTTACAGTTCTACAATAAATGTACAATTTAATATTAATATTATTAAATAAATTATCATATCATCTACTTAATATTAATTATGTTAATTATTATAATTTTAACAATCAATAAATAAAAAAATTAATAAATAAATAAAATTGTAAATTTTATAAAATTGAAAACCTAAAAAAATAGGAAATTAAAAATTATGATACCAAAATCATAGATAACATATTATAGAAAAATCAAAAATATAATTTAACTTTTTTTAAGTTACTCTTATAAATGCGAATTATTATGAAAATTAAATGTTAAATGGAAGTGTATATTTATCCTAATATTTAAAGGAAATACTTCCTCTAAAAAAATTACTCCTTTTAGT